CCCCGGTGCGGCGGGTGGTGCGTGAGATCCCCCCCCCCCTTCACCCGCAGCTGCATCGTGGGGACCGAGCATCCCGGGAGAGCCCCCCCTCTCGCCTCCCCAGCCCCCTCAGCTGCAGCCCGGGGGGGTTGGGGGTTATTTGTCGCACGGGGGGAAGGAGAGGAGCGCGTTTTCTGCCTGTCATCCGTGGTTTGCATGAAAAACGTCCTTCCCCGCTCTCCCTCCCCGGTGCGGCGGCGGCAGGGATGGCGTGGGGATGGCTGCCGTGCTGCAGTGCCGGGCTGACCTTCTTCCGAGCCTGGGGATGCGGGGACGGAGCATCTGCCCCTCGCAGCCTCCCAGCACCTTTGCTGGCCATCATCCCCTGAGGGACAGGATGAGCGGGACGTCCCCGAGGGTGAAGAACGGCTCCGTTTAATTTCTCGCTGTGAAAAGTGCGTGTAATGAAATGAGAATCCCCCCTCTCCTTCTGATGGCTCAGTCCCAGCAGAGGCAATTTCTTCCTTGCTGCTTTCCTGCAGGGATGCTCTGCGCTTTGCTCTGCAGTTGCCCTGGCCTTGGGAGGCTGGAGCAAGGGAGGTGCAGGATTTTGGGTCAGGGGATAGCCCTCGGGGAGGCGGATGTGATCCTTCCCTCAAGCACAAGGCCTTGAGCAGCTGGGAGAGCACGTGTGGTTCTTGGCGGCTCCGCGGGCCAGGCCTTGCTCCCTCCGGAGGAGAGGAGAGCTGCTTCCTTCGGAGGCTGCTTCGCAGGCTGACGACAGCTACCTTGCGTCCCGCAGTCAGGCTGTCGGGAGTTACGCTGTCCCCTCTCTGCTCTATCCGCTGCTGAGCCCGCATCCAAAGCAGCTCTTCCTTTGCTGTTCGGAGCTGTCTTTGCTTCTCGGGTGATGCGAGGTGGATCTTGACCTTGTGTAAGGCTCCAGTCTAAGTCCTCTGGAGTCATTTGAAGCTGCTCAAGCGCTACATAGGCACGGCAACGTGCTGGCTTTTTACGTAGGACTGAATTCTCCTTGTTACCTGCACCCCTGTCTGCCTGCGGCTGCCGGTGGGCAGCGTGCAGCACCTGGGAACGCCGAGGCCGGGCTGAATGAGGCTGGAGGTAACCCAATGTCTGCCGTAACAAACTGGAGGTGATTCCCTGTGTGCTCCGGTTTCTCCTTGTGTAGGGCTCACCTTCACAGAGTGAGCGGTGACCGGAGCACGAACAAAGCTCTTTGTGCTACGGAGCCCGCTCGGTGCCCTCGGAGGACGCTTGGCAGCTGGTACGAGTGCCGAGGTGTCGTTCCCTCGGAGAAATGGGTCACGCTGGTAATCGCAGAAGAGTGAGGGGGGGTGATCGGAGCCCGTTCTTGTGGCTGCATCTGCATGTGTTATAGTGATGAGATGCTGAGCGCAATTGCGATAGCATCAGTTTTTTCCCAGCGGATAGGTGGGAGGGTAGGAGTAGGGAGACACAACTCTCTCTCCCTAGATGTATTTTTAAAGGATCTGAAGCTTTCTTCGTTTGTTCTGCTGGACTTGCTATTGGGAAAGCTGGAGGTTGTGGCTTTCCTCTGAAACCTCCAGCAGAATTTAGGAAATTGGTTTGGCTTGCACGGCCCCTGGATGGGCCGTGGTGGAGTGGGGTTGTTCAGGAGGAAAAAAGGCCTCCATCTAACCCCGGAGGAAACTTCTCCTGTACTTGGGTCTCTCCAGCACTCGGGACTCTGTGTTTCCCAGGGCAGGCTCAAAGAGCATCCTTCCCCATTTTGAATCTCTTCATGTTCCCTGCAAGAACCAAAAATCCTACGGTTGTAAAAATTAATCCACTCAGTATCCGGAGAGCACTATCTTCCTATAATTTATAAATCATAAATCTTGCTTCTTGGATTGTCATTCTCTGCATCTGAAGAGGAAGTGACTCTTACCACAAGGCCTTGAAGCTTGGAGCGTAACGTGCACCTTATTTAGCTCTGGCCATGACTGCTCCTCTGAGAAATGAGTGCGTTAAAGCCCTGTACCGCTTCCTGTGCAATCTGCCTGGCCCCGATTTTATCAGTGGGATCGAGAGATCAGTGGGAGGGAGGCTCCTCGCTTTCTTCTAGGACCACAGCAGCGTTTATCTTGCAACGTCTTTGTCACAAAAGGTCTCACACTTGGGTTGAAGAAGCACTGGAGGTGGTGCCTGTGATGGGGGGGGGTTGGTTAGGATTTGAGAGCGTGGATTTTCACCTGTTACACGGGCTAGGTCGGTGCCTGTACATTAGACGTGGTTTTCCCATCGTCCCTAGAGCAAAGAGAACTTTTGGCCCCTTGCTTCCTCTTCACAGAATCCTCACTTGGCAC